AGCTTGAAGTCCAGAATTGTGATGCCTGAAGCTTTGCTTTTCTTTTTCAAGATTGCTTTGGCTGAATTCAGGGTCTTTTGTGGTTCCATGCAAATTTCAGGATTGTTTGTTCTAGCTCTGTGAAAAATGCTAGTGGTATTTTGATAGGGATTGCATTAAATGTGTACATTGCTATGGGTGGCATGGACATTTAAACAATATTTGTTAAATATTTGTTTAAATATTCCATGAGTAGGGAATGTTTTTCTATTTCTTTGTGTCCTCTTCACTTTCTTTCATAAGTGTTCTATAGTTTTCAGGTGGAACTCTTTGGTTATATTTATTTCTAGGTATCTCTTTTTTCTGTTTTCTTTAAATTCCAGTGAGTTAACATATGTGGTAAAATTGGTTTCAAGTGTAGAATTTACTGATTCATCATTTGCATCTAACACCTGGTACTCCTCACAACAAATGCCCTCCTTAATAACCATCATCCATTTTGCTCATTTCCCACCCTCCTCCCTCCATTAGTGCAATTGTAAATAGGATTGATTCCTTGATTTCTCTTTCTGCTGTTTCATTATTTGTGTATAGAAATGCAGCAGATTTCTGTATGTTGATTTATATCCTGCAGCTTTACTGAATTTGTGTATCAGTTCTAGTTTGGCAGAGTCTTTTAGGTTTTCTACATAGATTATTGTGTGGTTGGAAAATGGTGGAAGTTTGACTTCTTCCCTGGCAATATATATGCCTTTTATTTCCTTTTGTTGCCTGATCGCTGAGGCTAGGACTTGCAGTACTATATTAAATAACAGTGGTAAGAGTGGACACCCCTGTCATGTTCCTGATAATATAGAGGAAAAGCTCTCAGGTTTTCCCCTTTGAGGATGGTATTACCCGTGAGTTTTTTATATGTGGCCTTGATGATCTTGAGGTATGTTTCTTCCATCCATCCTTTCTTGAGGGTTTTTATCAAAAATGGATGCTGATCTTTGTCAAAAGCTTTTTCTGCATCTATTGAGAGGATCATATCGTTCTTATCCTTTCTTTTATTAATGTTGTCTGTCAAGCTGATTGATTTGTGAATATTGAGCCACCCTTGCAGCCCAGGAATAAATCCCATTTGATCATGGTGCATGATTCTTTTTATGTACTTTGGATTTGATTAGTTAGTATTTTGTTGAAAATTTTTGCACCCATAGTCATTGGAATATGGGCCTGTAATTCTTTTGAGTGGGATCTTTGTGTGGTTTTGGAATCAAGGTAATGCTGGCCTCATAGGATTAGGAAAACACTGCAAGTTTTCCTTCCATTTCTGTTTTTTAGAACAGTTTGAGAAGAATGGGTATTAACTCTTCTTAACATGTTTGGTTGAATTCTCTGGGAAGTCACCTGGACCTGAACTTTTATTCTTTGGGAGATTTTTGATTACTGATTCAGTTTCTATGCTGGTTATGGATCTGTTCAAATTTTCCATCTCTTCCTGTTTCCATTTTAGTAGTTTATTTATTTCTAGGAATTTATCCATTTCTTCCAGAATGCCCAATTTGTTGGCATATAATTGCTTATACTACGTTTTTAGAATTCTTTGTATTTCCGTGGTGTCAGTTGTGATCTCTCCTGTCTCTTTCATGATTTTAGTTATTTGGGTCCTTTCTCTCTTTTTTTTGATAAATCTGGCTGGGAGTTTATGAATTTTATTAATTCTTTCAAAGAAGCAGCTCCTGGTTTCATTGATCTGTCTTACTGTTTTTTTTATTTCTATATCTTTTATTTCTACTCTAGTCTTAATTATTTCCCTTCTTCTGACTTCCTGTTCTTTTTCCAGCTTCTTTGGGTGTAAGTTTAGGATGTATACTTGAGACTTTTTTTTTTCTTTTTTAAAGATTTTATTTATTTATTCATGAGAGACACAGAGAGGCAGAGACACAGGCAGAGGGAGAAGCAGACTCCATGCAGGAAGCTGGACTCAGGACTCGATCCCTGGTCTCCAGGATCAGGCCCTGGGCTGAAGGTGGCACTAAACCGCTGAGCCACATGGGCTGCCGGAGAATTTCCTTGCTTCTTCTTCTTCTTTTTTTTTTTTTTTTTTTTAAGGAAGGTCTCTATTGCTATATGCTTTCCTCTTATGACTGTCTTTGCTGCATCCCAAAGATTTTGGACTGTCATGTTTTCATTATCATTTATTTCCAAAAGAAATTTTTAAAATTTCTTTTTAATTTCCTGGTTAGCCCATTCATTCTTTAGTAAGATATTCTTTAACCTCTACATGTTTGTAGTCCTTCTAAATGTTCTCTTCTTGTTGACTGCAAGTTTCATAGCACTGCGCCTGGAAAATATGTATGATATGATCTCATTCTTTTTGTACTAGTTAAGGCCTAATTTGTGACCCATTATGTAATCTATTCTGGAGAATGTTTCATGTGCACTCAAAAAGGATGTGTATTCTGCTGCTTTAAGATTAAATGTTCTGAATGTATGTATCTGTTTGGTCCATCTGATCCAGTGTGTCATTCAAAACCATTGTTTCCTTATTGATTTTCTGCTTAGATATTTTATCCACTGATGTAAGTCAGTGTTAAGGTCCCCTGCTATTATTGTATTCTTATTAATGAGTTCCTTTATATTTGAATTCCTTTATATTTTATATATTTGAGTGCTCCCAAGTTGGGAGCATACATATTTACAGTTGTTAAGTCTTCTTGTTGAATAGACTCCTTTGTTGTGATTTAGTGTCCTTCTTCATCTCCTGTTATAGTCGTTAGGTTTTTAAAAATATTCTTTAAAGATTTTATTTATTTATTTGTGGGGGAGAAAGAGCAAGAGAGAGCAAGGGGAGGGGCAGAGGGAAAGGGACAAGCAAAGTCCATGCAGAGCCCAATGAGGGGCTCAATCCCATAACTTTGAGATGGTGACCTGAGCTGAAACCAGGGTTCAGAGCTTAACTGCCTGAGCCACCCAGGTGCCCTTACAGTATTTAGTTTAAAATCTAGTTTGTCTGATATAAGTATTGCTGTTCTGGCTTTCTTTTGACCTCCATTAGTGTGATAAATGGTTCATTATCCTCTCACTTTCAATCTGTAGGTATCTTTAGGACTAAAATTTGTCTCTTATAGGCAGTGTATAGATGGGTCTTGATTTTTTATCCATTCTGACACCCTGTGTTTTTGATTGGAACATTTAGTCCATTTACATTCAGAGTAATTATTGATAGATACGAATGTAGTGCCTTTTTATTGCTTTTCATGTCTTCTGGAGATTTTCTTTGTTCCTTTCAAGTCTTTGTCAGTTCGTATTTCTTTCCTACTCAGAGTCCCCTTTAATATTTCTTGCAGGGCAGGGTTAGTGGTCACAAACTCTTCCGTTTTTGTTTTTTCTGGGAAACTGTCTCTTTCTATTCTGAATGACAGAAAAACTTTCTGGTTAGAGCATTCTTGGCTGCATATTTTCCCCATCTGCCCATTGAAAATATTGTGCCACTATCTTCTAGACTGCGAAGTTTCTGTGACAGATCTGCTGCCAACATTTTTATCTTCCCTTGTAAGTTAGGGACTTCTTTTACCTTGGTGCTTTAGGAATTTTTTTCTTTGTCTCTGTATTTTGCAGATTTAACTACTGTATGTCTTGTTGTTGACCTGCTTTTGTTAATTTTGATGAGGAATCTCTGTTCCTCCTGGATTTGGATGACTGTTTCCTTTCCCAGTTTAGGGAGGTTTTCAGCTGCAATTTCCTCAAATAAATCTTCATATTCTTATGATTGTTGCTGTAAGTTCTAGATCAGGCACATTACTTGTATCTGTTTTGATTATATCCCTGACTGTGACCTTTCCTTGTTCTTTCTTTTGGGATGAATTCCTCTATCTTGGCATTTTGTCTAGGTCTCTGTTTTCTTTTCTGTGTTAGGAAAGCCTCTCTGTTTACATCAGTTTATTGAAAATGATCTGTCATGTCTTTTGCTAAAATTGTATGATTCTCAAAACCATTGGTTCTTAGAATGCAAATTTATGACAAACCAATTGAAACCAAACATACCTTCCAATTCATCAATGATATACCTTATCAGATTTTTTTTCAAGATTTTTATTTATTTATTCATGAGAGACAGAGAGAGAGAGAGAGAGAGAGGCAGAGACACAGGCAGAGGGAGAAGCAGGCTCCATGCAGGGAGCCCGATGTGGGACTCGATCCTGGGACCCCAGGATCATGCCCTGGGCCAAGGGTGGTGCTAAACCACTGAGCCACCCAGGGATCCCCTACATTATCAGATTTTTAAAAAAATATATATCTATGAATTTTTATTGCAGCCAGTTCCCTTTGCTTCATGTATAACTTGCTAAAACATTAAGAACAACTAAAATTACTAAAGAATAATAAAATTGAAAGAAAACATAAGCCCAAATGGTCATGAAAATATTGAAATATTAAATAGAAAATTAGTCAGATTACTTTTTTTTGGGGTGGGGGGAGGACATTAGAGATTTAAAATTTTTCTTTCAAAACATTTCGTAATTAGAATAGGAGTAACAGCCACTCTTGGGTGTATGGCAGGGGCCAAAATTGGGAATGAGAATATAGAAGCAAACAATTGAACTTAACAATGGCAAATGTGCATCTTCAACAAATATAACTTTAATTTTAGACAGCTAACACAACTACTCTGGGAATACATTTGGCAAATAGTTTTATGTGTAATAAAGAACATGAAAAATGAGTTTCTAGAATTCTCTTAAGAGTCTAACTAAAATATAAGCCTGCCTAGCAATGAGTTCTGTGCTTGATTTCAAAATTCACTTCTAATGTTCCAGAAGTTATAATAATAACCTACCAAGAAAGGAAAATTTATTTTTCAGCCAATTGTATGTGTGACTAATACTTGAAGTAATAACATAAAATTTTGTTTCATTATGTTGTCATAGCTAAAACATATACAAAATGATTTTTATGTAAAATGTAAGTTAGAAAGTTTTAAATCTTTTTTTCCCTTTGTAATAAAGTTCTATTTTTTGTTTATTTAATTATAGACAAAAGGTTCTCAAACCATGACACCTTCTGGCACCCAGAAAAAAGTTAAGAGAACTCTGCCAAACCCACCCCCTGAGGAGACCTCTACAGGCACTCAGTCAACATACAGCACAGTGGGTACAGTTTCCAGGAGGAGGATCTGCAGAACCAACACAATGGCACGAGCCAAGATTCTCCAGGATATAGACAGAGAGCTTGATCTTGTAGAGAGGGAATCTGCAAAGCTGAGAAAGAAACAAGCAGAACTTGATGAGGAAGAAAAGGAGATTGATGCAAAGTTACGGTACCTGGAAATGGGAATTAACAGGAGGAAAGAGGCATTATTAAAGGAGAGAGAAAAGCGAGAGCGAGCCTACCTCCAGGGAGTAGCTGAGGATCGGGATTACATGTCTGACAGTGAAGTGAGCAGCGCCCGACCAACCCGAATAGAAAGTCAGCATGGCATTGAGCGACCAAGGACTGCTCCCCAAACTGAATTCAGCCAGTTTATACCACCGCAGACCCAAACAGAATCTCAGCTAGTCCCTCCTACAAGTCCTTATACACAGTACCAGTATTCTTCCCCTGCTCTTCCTACCCAAGCACCCACTCCGTACACCCAACAGTCCCATTTTCAGCAACAGACTTTGTACCATCAGCAAGTTTCACCTTATCAGACTCAGCCAACATTTCAAGCTGTGGCAACAATGTCCTTCACACCTCAAGCTCAACCTACACCAACCCCGCAACCTTCTTACCAGTTACCATCACAGATGATGGTGATACAACAAAAGCCACGGCAAACTACATTATATTTGGAGCCCAAGATAACTTCAAACTATGAGGTGATTCGTAACCAACCCCTAATGATAGCACCTGTTTCTACTGATAATACATATGCTGTCTCCCATCTTGGGAGTAAGTACAATAGCTTAGACCTGAGAATAGGATTGGAGGAAAGAAGTAGCATGGCAAGTAGTCCAATATCAAGCATATCTGCAGATTCTTTCTATGCAGATATTGACCATCATACTCCACGAAATTACGTCCTAATTGATGACATTGGAGATATTACCAAAGGAACGGCAGCATTAAGCACTGCATTTAGCCTTCATGAAAAGGATCTGTCAAAAACAGACCGTCTCCTTCGATCCACTGAAACACGTAGATCTCAAGAAGTGACAGATTTCCTAGCACCTTTACAGACATCCTCCAGATTGCATAGTTATGTGAAAGCAGAGGAAGATCCCATGGAGGATCCCTATGAGTTAAAGCTTCTGAAACATCAGATTAAACAAGAATTCCGTAGAGGAGCAGAGAGCTTAGATCACCTTGCTGGTCTTTCCCATTATTACCATGCTGATACGGGCTATAGACATTTTCCAAAATCTGAGAAGTACAGCATTAGTAGACTCACACTTGAAAAACAAGCAGCAAAACAACTACCAGCAGCCATACTTTATCAAAAACAATCAAAGCACAAGAAATCACTAATTGATCCTAAAATGTCAAAATTTTCACCCATTCAAGAAAGTAGAGACCTTGAACCTGATTATTCAAGCTATATGACTTCTAGCACTTCATCTATTGGTGGCATTTCTTCCAGAGCAAGGCTTCTTCAAGATGACATCACTTTTGGCCTCAGAAAAAATATTACAGACCAACAGAAATTTATGGGCTCATCTCTTGGCACAGGGCTGGGCACATTAGGAAATACCCTCCGGTCAGCTTTGCAGGATGAAGCAGATAAACCATACAGTAGTGGCAGCAGATCCAGACCTTCTTCCAGACCTTCTTCGGTCTATGGCCTTGATTTATCAATTAAAAGAGATTCTTCTAGCTCTTCCCTAAGACTGAAAGCTCAAGAGGCTGAAGCTCTAGATGTTTCCTTTAGTCATTCATCACCTTCTGGCAGAACTAAGCCTACCAGTTTACCAATTAGCCAGAGTAGAGGAAGAATACCAATTGTGGCCCAGAATTCTGAAGAAGAAAGTCCACTCAGTCCTGTTGGCCAGCCAATGGGAATGGCCAGGGCTGCAGCTGGACCCCTTCCACCAATATCTGCAGACACTAGGGATCAGTTTGGATCAAGTCACTCATTGCCTGAAGTTCAGCAACACATGAGAGAAGAATCACGAACTCGAGGCTATGACCGTGACATAGCGTTCATCATGGATGACTTCCAACATGCCATGTCAGACAGTGAAGGTAAATTGGGCCTCAAACTACCTTGTTACTCTCAAAACTCAAACTCTTATTTTCCTGCATGTTTAATTTTCCTTCTCCAAGGATGTATTCTACTTTTCTTAGTGCGTCTTTTGCATGTTTACTTCAATTTTATTTCTTGTAAATGGAAATTTAATCTTGTGTATAGATTTCCTAGCATGCTTTTCTTTATTTCTTTTTAGTTTATTATTTTATTGTTGTTTCTTGATTGTTTGCTTGATTTGTTTGGTGTCCACTTTTCTAAAACCATTATCAAGTAATTGTGTCAATAAAATATGGTCATCCTTTAAATCCATAGTTGGAAAGTTTTTAATTGTATGTTTTTTATTTTTTAAAAAATGCATTTCTAAATATATTGGTCAGTTTCTTTCAGTTTGTGAAGTCATTAATATTTAGAGCCATTAAGTACTATTCTACTAAACTTTGTAATAGAAAATTATTTATTATTTATATTATTTTTGTGATATTGTTCATTAATTCAGAAAATGTTCTCTTTTTGAGAATCTTTGGCTGAGTCCCTGATATTAGTGTAATCTAGAATTTTATAATTCTCCTTAAATAAAGGATTAATATTTTATTTCTCTCACTATGAGTACCATAATTGACAAGGTTGTGCATTTTGCATTACATTCTTGAAACCTTAGCACTAAATATGATATTTACAAAATAATCATATCAATACATAGGAAACATTCTTTATATATAGAATCAAAAATTTGTTTACTACTCTTGTGAGTTTAGCAAGCTGAAGCCCTCCTGGTTGGTGTATCCATTTAACCTTTTCCTTGGCTTTGCATTTTGCATCATTCCATTTTTTTGTCCTAAATTGTTTTGCTAATTTTTCTGTGAATAAATGATTGAAGGCAAGTATACACTTTAACTAAAACCTGGCTTATGATAATTTTGTTGTTGTTTAATCATATAGAGTGACAGGATTTTAGAGAATTATCTAGTCTAAATTTAATTATGAAGATGAGGGAGGAGAGATACAAGGATATATAGAGTCCTTTCCATGCCAGGAGGACTCATGACCTTTGGTTCTCTTTTTTCCCGTCCCTCTACAGTTTACCTTTGCATGTAGGTGTGATTTGAGTCCTGGAAATAAAATATTTCTCAAGTAAAGATATTATTACTTCATGCCTTTGAAGTCTGCAGAGCACTAAACTAACACAAACACCCCTCCTTTTAAATTGGACATTTTCCCTGAGGACTTACAGGGAAATACGTGTTCATGAAGAGAATTTTCTTTCTACTTCTATATCTAGATGCTAATATGATTTTATAAGTTCACGTCTTGATTTGAATAGGATTAAAATAAATCTCTGGATCTGAAAGTTGAGAGATTCCTTTTCTTAGTGAAATTCCAACAGACTAGTTACTTTCTTTTTCTTTTTTTATTGAAGTTCAATTTGCCAACATATAGTATAACACCCAGTGCTCATCCCATCAAGTGCCCTCCTCAGTGCCGGTCACCAAGTTTCCCCATCCCCCCTGCCCACCTCCCCTTCCAACTAGTTACTTTCTGATTTATTTTCTTCTCTACAGTCTATTGGATTGACCATTTTTATTGATAATTATTCAGTGAAATAAAACACTGTATTTGTATTTTTTATTTTATCAATTGTTTGAATCTCTCTAGTTAAAAAGAGATATGACATTTTGTGGAAGCAGTTTTTTTTCTTTACTTTTTTCACAATCCACATTTTACACACATTTTATACATATAAAACGATTGCTGCAGAAGAATAAAAAGATACTTCAATAATCATATTGGTAAAATAATAAAAACTAAATTAAAAACTAAGGCAGGTTTATGGCATAACTAAACACCTAAGGCTATGTGTGTGCATAGAGCATATATTTGAGAATTTGACCAATTCGTTAATTCATCATGGATGTTTTGTCAGCATGGTTCCAGACATTTAGATTTTTCTAGATATCCCAAAATATGGTATTTATTTACATGCAACCATGTGAATATAACCAGATGTTTTATTTTTCATTTATATGTTTGAATGATATATATTCCTAATCATTAAGGACTGTATGAAAAACATTGTTTTTATAAATAGATGGTAAGACATCATGCAGCATACAAAATTATGAAATGTATAAAGATGATACCAAAGAAATAATTAAAGTGAAATTTAGTGAAATTTAGATGAAATTACACAATTAAACTAAAATATTTAAAAATTAACCAGATAAGAAATTTAGTTGTAAAGTACATACAGATAGAGAAATAGACAAAGGACAACCATAACAAATTAAATTACATATATAATATTATGTGTGTGAATTGTAGTGATTATCTTTAAAAGTTGTATGTTTTAAAATGTTACTTTTTTTTTTTACTTTTAAATCACGTGAACATATTACTTTTCTTCTAGTAAAGCAATGGCCTACTTTTCTTTTGAAATTTTGGATTTCTTGGGTAATTAAGGGACAAAGTAGGAAAAAATTTTCTTAATTATGTAATTCATTTGTGAACTCATGAAATACTGAGAATTTTTTAAATAAATTTTTACCAAATATATGCTATATCTGTATTTCAATGATAAGAAGATCACTTTGAGAGGTGTAACATTCCAACAGGCTATTTAGTAATCAGTAGAGAAAAGCAAACTTAACTGATTTCAAATTGTTGAACTGATTGTTCATGTGTGCTTTGTCTGAGTTCAATTAAACTTTAGTTTATAGACTTACAAGAATATTTTTCAGATGTGTTCTATATGACTTTAGTTAATTTTGAAATAGCTCACTTGAGGTAAAGTCTAGATAAGCATAATTTACAATGCTTAGTATTTATGGTCTCAACTTGAAAACTACAATTTGATGTGCATGCATGGTTGATTAAGTACAGAACAGGAAGCCCTTTTTTAAAGCGGATTTTGAGGAAAGCTAAGCTAACAATAGTCGAATTATATTTATTTCTACAAACACAAATATTTTGTTGAAAACATTCTTTTGAAGTATACTCCAAGCCAAAAAAAAAAAAATCAGTATAGTCACTTTGAAAAATTTTTTTCAACCAGTATTTAATACTGAGTAGAATTGAACTATTTCCATAACTTTGAATAATGCTAGATCCCCAAATAGCTTACTTTTATTTTATATTTAAGATTTCAAGAAAATATCAGTTTGAAACAAGAAGATATTAATCTCCAGGCAATTATTTAAGTTAATTTGGAAAAAAATTATAAAGTTTAATTTTTAAAATGCAGATATACCATGGCAGATCATACAACTACAGTTATAAACAACTAGCATTTATGTCTCATTTGCTATAAATTATGAAGACAGAATACAATTTAAAAGTAGATTTGTTCACTCTGGTTGCAGTTAGTGATCTATAAATGTTTATGCAAAGCCTGACAGTTACATATTGACTTATTATAAGAAATAATAAACAATCAAAGTATGTAATCAGAAACAAAAGGACAAATTTTGGAAAAGGTTGAGATTCTGCTTTATTTGTAAAGATATAGCCAAGAAAACATGATTTAAAAGATTGTGTTTCAAATGCATTGAGCAAAGGTATATATTCAAGTGAAATCATGTATTACATGATCCAAGATATGCATTTATTTAAATTAGTATAGATGTTTTTAACGATAAATAAATAACAAGAATATGTAAGAAATAAAATAAGATGATATTACTGTGATTGGGGATAATCTAGTAAGTTTTTAAGAGACCGATAATTAAATTACAGATTTTTTTGATATGTACTTATCAAATACCTATTACATTAAATATTTTTTCATAAGTTTAGTTTTTCATGTCAATTGAAAACTATGAAAAACTATAATAAATTATTATCAAGTAGATTGTGTGTGAAGATTACATAAATATTAATGAGGTTTGAGGGGCAAATTAATACTTATTTTTTAATGTGCATATCATTATTAAGATATTTAACTTATTTTTCTAGTTGACTAATTTTTCTGTTTCATTCATCTCCCAAACATTTATTGAATATTATGGCATTTGCAAGGCATTGTTTTTAGTGTTGAGGGAGGGGGAATAAGGAAGATCTGAGCCTTATCCTCAAACAGCTTAGAATCTTCTGTTAGAGATCAGATAAGTGCACATACAACCACAAACCAGGTATGTAACATTGCATTTCCTCAAACTGAAGAATGACTAAATTATGACACATCATCAGTCATTATACTTACTGGGGGGAAATGCTGTGGTTAATCACAGGAGGTGACCACAGGACCAAGATCCCAAGACTTATGGAGGTGAGTAGTGGCATATATGCTGTGGGTTTGCCAGTCCTATCAGCAAAGATAAAATGGAAATTGCTTGGGGAAAAAAAAGTGTTGGGAAGTTTTCAAAGAGAAGACAATCTAGGATGTAGACAGAAAAAGAAAACTATGATGAGTTAGAAGAACTCAAAAGTATGACATTGTAGATGCTAGCATTTCAAGAAAGCCTAAGTTGATAGCACCGTCAACAAACCTTTCAGCACAGAACTTGAGAAGTGCTGCTACATCTGCCATTTAGAAAGCAACAGTGTATTTCCAGAGATCCTTTTTACTAATTAGTGATCCTTTTGCAAAGAATAAAGCTTTATATGAATTCAAATTCTATATATTAGGTAAAATGGGTTTTTTGGTCCCTAACTAACAGCTTCAAAAGACTTTGGAGGCACTAAGAACTGAATGGGATGAATAATTTTAAATAATTATATACTTAAATATGGTTTCATTTTCACAAAAGTATTTTGAGATGTCAAGTTTTGTCACATTAGAAACAAAAAAGCAGCTGGTCAACACTTCAATCTAGTTCCTAAATCTGTGGCTGCATGGAAATAATTGTTTAATTTTTAATAAAATATTGTAAAATATTTTTAATAGTAGGGCTGCCAGGTGAGTATGGCACACACATTCCTTGCAGTAATACTTGGGATCCCCTTAGAAAAAATATTTTCATCTACATATTGAGGGTCATAGAAATGGCATGTTTTCAGAAATACACATTTGATGTTCAAAGCCATCAGCCACATATTAGTAGTGATTGATATGACTGTGGGAAAGTGACAGCCTCTTCTGTACCGAGGGAGGCGTTATCCTTAGATTTTAGTGGCGGGAGGTAGGTTGTGGGGGAGATGAGGAGATAGGAACTAAAGGGTTGAGTTTGAATAGAATGACTTCTGAGGAATATTCACTTGTTTGCTTATCCAGTCACTGTCTAAATTTCTTCTCATTTAACATTTAATTTTGTTTTATTTTGCTCTGAGAGGTTCAACAGGTGTGTACGTTGTTTTTTCTAAGTTATCCCATGGCACAAAATTTTTATCATAGTTTTGGAAATGATCTTCTTCATCTTCTTGGGAGTTGTATTTGAAATGCATGAATGGTTAACCAGCCTGGAGCATGTTGGTACTTCAGAACATCTGCTGTCCTCTGTCATCTGTATTAGTTGTGGTTGCAATGTTTGATATCTCCTTGGTCTCCAAAGCCTATCACCTACGTCGTGAAGAAACAGATTGGTTTGACAAACCCAGGGAGTCTCGTTTGGAAAATGGACATGGTCCGGATCGCAAACTGCCAGAAAGATTGGTCCACTCTAGACCAGTTAGTCAACATCAAGAGCAAGTAAGTGCTATATTGAGCAGTCTGTTTAGATCTATCCCCCCCACTGCCACAAAAAAACACAATCAATCCATCTATCAGTCAGCCAGCTATCCTAGAATGGTCTCAGTTATCCTAAAATATATGGGACTTTGTCAATCAAGTTCACTAAAAAAACTTTTTTCAGTAATTTTAAGTACTAAATACCTTACTTAATCATCCCTGGCTCTACCAACATTGTAACATAACTGTGGTGCTACTACTGGCCAATGTAAGGGATTCATTCCTCTGGAAGGTAGTTAAGTTTGTACAACATACCCAACACGTATAAGTGCAATACATGTAGCTCCTAAAGACCTTACAGAATGTTGGGTGGAATAGACTTGGGTGATTTCAGTGCTTTCCAATAACAGTGTGTTCAGATGTTAAGATATAGCAAATAAGAGGGTGACCAAACCAAGTCAGCTGGGGACAGGGAAGGCTTCAGTTTGGGAAAGAGGGGAACTTAGATTTTAGATTCTACTTATATGGACATGTTTGTTTTATATTTATTTTTGGATTTTATCATCAAAAACTCAAACTAGATACTATTATTTAATATCTATTTATTTTGTGTTTTTTTTAATATTTAATATTTATTTTAGAGAATGCATGAGCACTTGGTGGGAGGGTTGCTAGAGGAGGGGCAGAGGGAGACGGAGAATCCCAAGTAGTCTCCCAGCTGATCAGGGAGCCTGATGCTGATCTCATAACCCTGAGATCACAACCTGAGCTGAAATCAAGAGTCAGATGCTCAACCAACTGATACACCTATGCTCTCCAATCAATATCTGTTTATAGATGTAAAGAAATTTAGAGATAAATTTCACAGTTAGGTAAATCTGATATCAAAATTCATTGTCATATTTACTTTAGAAGAAATGAGGTGATGTTTGAGTGAATTTTGAAAGACACATAGGAAATCAAGAGATGGTTAAATTGAGGGTGATTAGTCTGGTAACCCCAATGGCCTAAATAAGTTGCCTTAAAAGATCAGGTATTTGCAGGCTATGTACCCATAATCATTAAAATACCCACAGAAGAGAGAGTTGACTTGTTTCTTATACATTAATTCCTAGATCATCCTGTCTGATTAGGGATTCTCTAATATAGAAGACAAGTGTGTTTTGAAGAAGTGTGTTTTAGACTATATGAACTTACTGTACTTCAATGTTTGTCACATCAAACTATAAAAGAGATGACTTTTGCACATATAAACACCATGGAAAAATAGAATCTATACTCAAATTTGATTTCTTCCAAAGAAATTTCAGTTTTCATGGACAAATTCCTAGCTGTTATGTAGAATTTCTTTCTTAGGAGCCCCTGAGTGTCTCAGTCAATTAAGGGGCATACTCTTGATTTTGGCTCAGGTCATGATCCCAGTGTCCTGGGATGGAGCTCCACACCAGACTCCATGCTTGGCGAGGAGTCTGTTTCATAATTCTCCCTCTCCCTCTGTCCCTTCCCCTCCTCCCTGTCCTCTCTCTCAATGAAATAGATAAATAAATCTTAAAATAAAATGATCTCAAAATTTTGTTCTGTTTTGTTTTATATATGCTATCATATTTTCTAGAAATCTTGGAATTATTCTCTATATAAGTATTCTCTTTAGTTTTTGATATCTTTAATGAATGTAGTTTAGCCCCATCTCCTCTCTGGAAAACATGGGGGAGGGGGTCAAAATGGTGATGGAGATTAAATAATACACTTATGATGAAAATAATGGAGTATTTTTTGAAAAGATTTTGGTTTAGGGGTGTGTTTATATAAATACCCATATACTTTCTACTTCATTTAAGTGTATCAGACAATTGAATTAGACTTTTCTTAGATTATCTTATTATTAAAATTCTATTTATAGCTGTAGTTCAATCTCATCAAATAGATCAGCCTGGTGAGCAAGAAAAATAAAATCATTCTGAACATGTTTATAAAATGTGAATTTACCTCTTTTATCTACAATTACTAAAATAATAAATCTGTCAGCTGAAGATAGCTTCCTTGAGTATATTTTACTGTAAGAATCTCTGTGTATTGACTTACTATTTATATCTTACCGGTCTCATTTTTTTGTTTGAAGTTTTTTTATTTCCCACAGACCTACATTAAGTCAACAAAAGCACAAATCCTTTTAAAAAATCTTAATAAGATGAAATATATAAACTGAAGCTAGAAAATAACTCCTGTTGAATTATTACCTGACATCACTATTTCCTTGGATACTTAGAATAGCCTTGTCCAACTAATTTATTCAACCAGTATTCTTGAAGGATACGTTTTAACATAATCTCTGTCCACCTCAGAAAATATTTTCTAAAATTCTCTTGTACGTAGAGGAAACATTAATAACGTTAATGGTGGGGGTGCCTGGGTGGCTCAGTAGGTTAAGTGTCTGCATTTGGCTCAGGTCATGATCTCAGGGTCCTAGAATCGAGCCCCACATTGTGCTCCCTGCTCAGTAGGAAGTCTGCTTCTCCCTCTCCCTCTGCCCCATCCTGCTCCTGCTCACTCTCTCTCTCAAATACATAAAGTGTTTAAAAAAGATAACCTTCTGGGGATCCCTGGGTGGCGCAGCGGTTTGGCGCCTGCCTTTGGCCCAGGGCGCGATCCTGGAGACCTGGGATCGAATCCCACATCGGGCTCCTGATGCATGGAGCCTGCTTCTCCCTCTGCCTGTGTCTCTGCCTCTCTCTCTCTGTGACTATCATAAATAAATAAATAAATAAAAATTAAAAAAAAATAAAAAAGATAACCTTCTGGTACTTTTTGGTTCTAATTTTCTGTTACTAGCATCTCCAGATTTATGATTTTGATACAATGAGGATATAATACATCATATTTAAACAAAATATATTTATAAACCAATATAATGCCAAAATCAAGCAGAATATATTTAAGAATTATTTCATGATTTTCATGCTAATTTTTATAAAGAAGAAAATGTAAGAGTCCTTGTTAGAATTATTTATAGGTAAACGTAATAAAGTAATTTCTTGTTAAAAGTTATTTCTTCCATTTATAAGGCTTTTAAATTTTTTACTTTGACATTTAACATACTAACAAAAAACTACACATGCAGTTACCAAAACTAGTTATAAAGTGAACAACCATATAACCAACACATTGTCTTCCCCAGACACCACTATGTGCCCCTTCCAGATTGTAATCCTCAACCTGCTTCAAAAAAGTGACAAATATGCTAACTTCTGTAGCAAAAATTTCTTTGATTTTTCCTTACAATTTTTTCTAAACAAGCTATGTGAAAGATGACATACATTTTATTACAGAAAGTTCAAAATTCATGTTTTTTTGCATTAATATTTATCTTCAGATACTGTTTTTGTCATTAACTCATCATAACTGTATTTTGGTCTAGAGAGAATAGCAAAATGGCATTCTCGTTTTATTCACTTATTTCATCTCTAACCATAAAAAGGTAATATTGAGCTTTTGGTACTAATAAAGCAGATGCTTTTATTTGGAAACTTATGCATAACAAGAATTTATACTCATAAAATGCCCCAGAGGCAAAAGTAATAAAAACAAATTGATTAGGGATCCCTGGGTGGCACAGCGGTTTGGCGCCTGCCTTTGGCCCAGGGCGCGATCCTGGAGACCCGGGATCGAATCCCACATCGGGCTCCCAGTGCATGGAGCCTGCTTCTCCCTCTGCCTGTGTCTCTGCCTCTCTCTCTCTCTCTCTCTCTGTAACTATCATAAATAAATAAAATTAAAAAAAAACAAATTGATTAATGCAAACATGAATTTATCTGCTTTAAAAATAGCTTATGCAAAAATACATGAGAAACCAAAAATTTACTGAATTTTTATTAGACTCAAAATTATATTATTATTTGAATATATACATTTGAATATATATTATGATATATATATATATATATATATATATATATTTGAAAGAAAACAAACATGGATTTGCCTTATTCACTTCATCTATAAATAGTACTAATACCCCTGAAAGGGTAATTATAAAGGTCAACGCTTCTTGACTCGAACCGAATGCCTCCACGTTCTGCGCTAATGCCCATGCCTTCTCCAATCTTCATGCAACCGCAATATCGAGGTACATTAAGCTCCTCTGAGAAAACCACTCTTCCTATATATTCTGGACCTTTGGATGTCTTGTTCCTTTTCCCTGAACTCTCTTCCTCCTCTCATCTTGGCTAACTCTGCTCATCACTTAGGTCTCCATGTACCTACACCATCTTATAAGAAGTCTTCTCTCACACTACCACCACCACCTGCCCACAAATCGGGGCAAGTTTTCTTCTTTTGTGCTCCAATAGTATTGCATGCATTGTCACAGGCTCTAGCTCCTAGAGAGCAGAGGCTCCCTGCTCCATCCACCCCATTTCTATACAGTGCCTAGCACAGTACTTGGAACACAAAAAGGATACTCTCACCCCTGCATCTGGTATGCATGGTGTTTAGGAGAGGGAAGAGGATGAATGTCCATATTAATAAAAGGTATCGTAACACAAATGTTACAGTTTCATAAGTATGAAGGCTCAATTATTCATGAAACTATAAGTAGAGAAGAAGAATTCTTTTGCTGAGAGGCATAGAGTTGATAGTTCTTTCAGTGCAGAATCACGAAAAACAATGATATCAGAGACCAGACTCTGGGGGAAAGGTGTGGACACTGCTTGACATCAGTCCTGCCCTTGTTCCTATTCATTTCAGAAGCAGCACCTATGCTGAAACCCCATCTGCTGGAGAACTCTGAACATTCACCTGCAGTGCTTAGGAAAAAGCTAAGATCCAACTAGTTCATAGATGGAAGAGAAGATACCAGTGCTTTCTACAGATTTTTGGTCACTTTGATCATAATTAGGGCTGTTTAATATTTTTGATTTATTAAGTGAGTTCATGATGCTAGCTATAGACAGTCTGAAGCTACAGGAGATTCTATGAGATGTTCTGAAAGCAACATTTTATAGAAATGAAGATGCTAACATCCTTTCTGTTAACATCATCATAGATGCAAATTAGAAAGTGATAATCACTAGCTGATAAAACTGATGAAAAGATTGGGGAAATCTTACAACCTTCCTAAACTGTGCAACAAATGCACTTGAGTTTACACCAAATTGGAAAGACTACTGTTAGGTGAAAATGTATTTTCTTACTTTATTGCTGACCAAGAGGAAAAAAGTGACTTTTTAAGATTGTTATCAAATAAAACATGAAATTAAAGATATTTAAAATAAAATGAAATAATACCAATTTTAATTAGTTTTCTACAGTACCAAAGCAAAGTTTAGTTATGTCTAAGAGTTGTAGTATTTTCAAATACATGTGGTTTAATTTTCAGTAAAAAATTTAAAATCTTGAAAAGGAGATTAGGAGAGGAGGAATAAAAGTGGAAGAAGGAAAATAGAAGGAGAAAATATGAAGGGAGAGAAAGTAAGAAAGGCAGAAAAGAGAAATTCAGAGGGAAGAAGAAAGGAGACAGGTAGAGAGACCTGGAGATGGAGGAAACAAGACAGGGAAAATAAAGGGAAAATGTGTATAGTCTCCTTGCCATGAATATAAATAAAAAAGATTTTCAGTGGCGTACAAAGTTATAGTGGTACAAATTATCTAGATGAACTGATTGTACTGACCATAATTTATTCATAATCTTGCAAACAGCAGTTTATTTTTACTTTGAAGAATTCAGATAATATATCTGGACTCAACAGGATTCTGCTGCTGTTCTTTGGGAGAGTGTTTTCTGAATAAGCTTATTCTTTCCTGAAGAGAAGAAAAGCTACGAGCTATAATTTAGCTTGCATTTTTAATTCACATTTTGCTTTCAATATGTAGAATTCTAAGAGTTTTATAGGTGGATTTACACATTAAAACCACGTGAGTACTCAAGGAATCTTTCTTCATAAAAATCAACATTTCTTGGGTTCCAACTTCTGTTTAATATTTTGGCTTAGTATTCTCATATGCTTCTTAAACATATTTTGAAATAGGTAGTATTGCATGTCTCTTTACTAAGCTTTATTTTGGTTGTAATTTCTTTTTTTTTTTTAAATGATTTTTTTTAAAGTTTTTAGATATTTTTTAAATTTTTTATTTATTTATGACAGTCACAGAGAGAGAGAGAAAGAGGCAGAGACACAGGCAGAGGGAGAAGCAGGCTCCATGCACCGGGAGCCTGACGTGGGATTCGATCCCGGGTCTCCAGGATCGCGCCCCGGGCCAAAGACAGGCGCCAAACCACTGCACCACCCAGGGATCCCTTGGTTGTAATTTCAACCAAAATTTTTAAGATGATAGACTATATCATACTAATAAAATCCTCTTAATATGGATACAAAATATTTCACTATTTTTATTTTCTATTACTTCACAAATCTCTTTTGAATGCAAAATTCTAGGGCAGCCCAGGTGGCTCAGCAGTTTAGTGCTACCTTCAGCCTGGGGTGTGATCCTGGAGATCTGGGATCGAGTCCCACGTCAGGCTCCCTGCATGGAGCCTGCTTCTCCCTCTGCCTGTGTCTCTGCCTCTCTCTCTCTCTCTCTCTCTCTCTCTCTGTCTCTCATGAATAAATAAAATCTTTTAAAAAAATTAAAAGCAAAATTCTATAAAATACAAAACACAAATATATTGAATTTCTTTTGTTTCAGAAATCCAGGGGAAACCAAGACAATGGAATCTATAGCATTCTCATATTCAAGTCTCAATAATGAGAATTGGAATCACAGGCTTGCAACAATAGCTTTGAGGGTTGATGATTCTACCCGAAGGAATATCAACAGTAAATGAGAAATAACTCCATCAGTAACACATCTTTGAATAAAAGGAGGGCCTCAGATAGAATTAGAATGAGCAAAGGCTTTATTTATGTAGAACTAGCCTCCAGTGTACATGGAAACTTCTAGTAGATAAGCACAGCAGAAGCAGAACTTCACAGTAAAATGAAAGCAACACAAATATAAAGAAGTCCTATTAAGGTGATAAAGATGTGTAGTATGAGGATTTTTTTCTGTCTTTTCTTCTCTAGCACCACTTCATTGCAGAAAATTAAAAATACCTGTCCACATCTAGGCTATCCAGAGCAAAATCAGAAACTCACACATTTTCACATACATTGTCTACCCACGTCATCTCTGTATTACTATAGGAATGCACTTCCTTTAGAACCTGTTGAGTGTGCTTATCGATTTCCCAAACACAGAAATTCAGTTTGCAAGAAAATTGCTTATATATTTGAAGTTCATGAACTAAGAAATCAATAATATTATATAGCATTAGGCACTTAAATTGTACCAAAAAAAAAAACTTAAATTATGATCATTTGAGAATCTGGTAATATTATTTATTGATTGAATCAATGTATTTAAAAACATGTCTAATTCTGTATATTGCACTCTGTTCACGTTATCACATGTATATCTTAGATTATACAGATGAACGGGAAGACTATGCACTACATCTTTCCTCATGCAAGGATAAAAATGACAAGAGACTCTAAGGATCACACAGTTTCAGGTAAAGGAAATCAAATAACCTACTTTTTATTTTAATGTCAAATTGGGATACATTTTTGGATTTCAGTTTAGATGACTTATCAAATTTTTAAAAATACTATTTATGTTAAAATTGTTTTTGGAGAATTTCAAAAAATAAGCAGGCTATACATTTTTGGAGAATTTCAAAAAATAAGCAGGCTATACATTTGATCATCAAAGATTATAAGAGCATGGTCACTAACATGACAAATTACTAAGTGGTATACATTTAGATCATTTTTTCCTTAATTGCATGTTAAAAACATACATGGCATTGTAATATTCCATAATTATTGCTCTACTAAGCAATTTGGTCACTGGTTTTAGAACTATAAAACAGTCTTACACAGGAAATAGAGATCTCTGGTTCTTCTAAGGAATAAATCCCTCTCTACCTTGTCAATTTGAACATTATCAGTTATGCTGAGTTTTTGTTTGTTTACTTGTTTGTGTTCTTATGTGAACCAAAGCTTATGACAAATTCCTAAAGCTTTTGATTTTGAAATAATTTTAGATTCCTGGAAAATTCTGGGCTCCTAGAAAACAGTACGGTCAGTTCCTCTGCCCATCTTTTACTTAGTTTCCCTATGTTAACATCTATCTAATAACAGTAAGATGATCAAAACCAGGAAGTTAACATTAATTACTGTGGTACTATTAGAACATCAACAAGCCTTGGGGTGCCTTACTGACTCAGACAGTAGATCATGCAACTCTTGATCTTAGGGTGGTCAGTTCGAGCCCCACATTGGGTGTAGATATTTCTTAAAAATTAAATCTTTAAAACATACAGTATACAAGCCTTATCTAGATTTTGAGTTTTCCCACTTACCCACTAAATTCTCTCTTTTTTTTTTTCCTGGTCCAAGATCCAATCTAGATCATATTGTATTTAGTCGTCATCCCTCCTTCATCTCCAGTCTGATAGTTTTGCAATCTTTGTGTTTCATGACCTTGATGCTTTTGAAAGATAATGAATTTTATATTATAAATTTAAATTTTCTGTTCTGATCTTTGAGACAAAATATAAATTCTGTCAAAATTAATGACTTTTTGAAATATGAATATTACCTGTATATTACCTGTATATACTCAAGTATATTCCTTATGTTTATAGACACTGTACATCAACAGAAAATATTCATAAATATATATGTTTTATTTAACATGGTATTTGTTCTGGAGGGCTTTTTTTTTTCATTTAAGGACTGATAAAACAAAGGACAAAAATAGGTATTTTTCAGTATACTTTTTACTGTTCCTTGCATATTTTATTTTATTTTATTTTATTTTATTTTATTTTATTTTATTTTATTTTATTTTATTTTATTTTATTTTATTTTATTTTCCTTGCATATTTTAGACCATGGAGCATGTAGATGTGCAACAGGTTTTGCTTTGAACTACTCTCCTCACTTTATTTTCATAGAGAATAAATCGATTAGGAGTCTAATGTTGTTTTCCTTTTAAGATTGGGTAATTTTTCTCCTACCAGAGACAAATAATTTAAACTCTCATAGTTTTATTGCATGCACACTGTATTTTAAGCACTGATGGAAATTCCAGGGGTGAATCTTAAAATCCATGGGCTCTATGGATTGGAATAATTACTATGGAATAACTCTATGGAATAATTACTTCTACAAACTAGCTCAGGTCTCTCCAGCTCATAAAGCAAAACAGCATAGTACTTTCTAACAATGCCCAAATTCTTTTTCAGTGCAAACAACAGAAACCTTACTAAATCATCAGAACTTTCTATCAATATATCTGTCTTCTGTTATTACTTTTATACTGTGTTAATCATCCCCTCAGCCTTCTTGTCTTTTGTAACTCATTATTTTAATTTTTCTTTTGTTCAGAATTAGGGAAGAAAAGGTTTAAAATATAAAAAGGGCAGAAATAAAAGCTATTGATATCTTGTTACAAGTATTCTACCCTGAAAACTAAGTTTAATTTCCTCTGTCTATAGATTTTAGGAAATGAAAAACAAGAGTCACTGTTTTGAACAATATGTTTACTAGTAGTGTACTATATCATCTCTCTGCATGCCCCTTTTCTTTTGATATTTACCTAATATAAAAATATAAAAATATTTTCCTCATTGTATTTACCTGCATGGATTACTACTGAATATATTTTCTATGCATTCTTCTGTGATCTCATCATGATCAGCATGATCAGCATGATCTCATCGTAAATTAAATGTTTTGAAACAATTCATGTTGTTTTCAGATAAGTGTTTATTACCTCAAAGGGATTTAAATACATGTATATGCAAGGCTAGAGCCACAAATTACTTCTTTAGCAAACAATGTCTAGCTTTAAGCTAGCTAGTGGTAGGCAAACCCTGGCACAGAACATTTGTGCTCCTGGCTGATATCTCAGTGTTTGTCACTCAACCAAAAGTCTTTCTTGCTTGACTGAACATTTGGTGATACTAAGAATTTAACTGTTGTTTTTTGGTTAGGATTACCATTTTGATGTTAATGTTTTTAATAAAAATTAAGGGTAGGTTCTTTTAGAGATACATACTAAAATATTTACAGATGAAATAATGTCTTGTCTGGGCTCTCTTTCAAAATTAGTTGTGTGGAGAATGGCTAAGGAATAGATGGAAAAAATTGACCTTGACTTGATAATGATTGGAACTGGAAGGTTGACCACACTGGGCTTTATTATAGAGTTGTATTACTTTTTTATATGTATGACATTTTCCATAATAAAAAGTTTAAGTTCCTGTTTGTTGTTCATATTTAGAGAAAATGAACAGTGGCCAGTAGCTTCATCGTTAGTGAAAAAGCTATCTAACCAGAAATTTAAATACCTTTGTAATCAAGATGAGGATGTAAACAAGGAAGGAGTGCAGAATAAAATGTAGTATATCTGCCTTCCCAAAGAGAAGGTCCAAATGGTCTTTTTCATTTTGGTACCCACTGCAAGTAGAAATACTGTGTAACTTTTATGACAGCTTTATAAACCGTTATAGGGGTGCCTTGGTGGCTCAGTTTAAGTGTCTACCTTCCACTGCCTTCCATGATCCCATGGTCCTCAGCAGGGAGCCTGCTTCACGAACCTCTCTGCCCTTACCCCCACTCGTGCCTTCTCTCTCTTGCTCTCAAATAAATACAGTCTTTTTTTAAAAAATAAAAAAAAAACCATTCTCACAGGATGTACTATTAAAATATTTTATAATATTTAGGGATCCCTGGGTGGCTCAGCGGGTTGGCGCCTGCCTTTGGCCCAGGGCGTGATCCTGGAGTCCCGGGATCGAGTCCCACGTCGGGCTCCTGGCATGGAGCCTGCTTCTCCTTCCTCCTGTGTCTCTGCCTCTCTCTCTCTCTTTCTCTCTCTCTCTCATAAATAAATAAATAAATAAATAAATAAATAAATAAATAAATAATCTTTTTTTAAAAAAAGATTTATATGAAACAAGTATACCTCACAAAAAAAGAAAAATATGTTTATATTTTAGAATCAAAAATAACTTCAAAATAGAACACAGGAAAAGAAATTGCGTGTGTGCATGTGTGTTTGTTAATTGTTTATCCTGTGTGTTCCCCAAAGTTCAAGCAGGAGACCCTCATGGTTTCCAAAATCCTTCCAGGGGGTGCAAAGACAAAACAATTTTCATAGAAAATGGTAAGATAGCATTTGCCTTTGCCGTCCTCATTTTCTAGTAAATATGCAGTAGAATTTTTCAGGATGCATGATGTGTAACATCACAACAGGTCGTATACAGAGCAGATAAGGGAATTTAGCTGTACTCCATTTAGCTCAATATTAAGTGGATTTGCAGTAATGTAAAACAATACTACCCATCTGGTAAGTGTTTTGTTTTTAAAATAGTAATTTTTTTATTTAAAATATAATTATTTTAACATGGAATGAATTTATTTTGACTTCATTAATAAATATTTTAAATTATTTAATTTGTAATACAGAAAATCTACAGACCTATAATCCATATGAACAAAACCTCTTTGAAATCCTGAGTAATATTAAAAAGTATAAATGACTCATTAAAACCAAAATGTTTGAGAACCATTGCTCTAAAGATTTTCATAAAGAATGTTAAAAAATATAAATAAGCTTTTTCTTCCTATAAAAAACTTATACAATATAAAATGTATTTTGGAACTCCTTTTATAACTCATATTGGATGAATTTTTTTTAAGATTTTATTTATTTATTCATTAGAGGCAAGAGAGAGAGACAGAGACATAGGCAGAGGGAGAAGGAGGGTCCTCACTGGGAGCCCAATGTAGGACTCAATCCCGGGACCCTGGGACCACGGCCTGAGCCAAAGACAGATGCTCAACCACTGAGCCACCCAGGCATCCCTGGATGAATTTTTAATTGTTTATTTCTTAATATTTATCTACTGAACACCCTTGGTGGATTTACATTGTGTTGATTGCTAGGATAATAGAATGAACACAACACGTACCCTTATCTACAATTTACTCATAATTTTGATAGTAAAATCTGAAATGTAAGTAATTATTACAATAGAATTTTAGGAACAACTGAGATAAAGTAAGGAATTTATAAAACATCAATGTTCATACCTTTACATGTGTATGGACAAGTGTGTACACACGTATACTTATACACCATTATTATTTTTGTGATGTTCACAAAGAGAAATACATGATATAATCTTTTAAGCAGTTCGTAATTTTTAGAAAATAGATCCTTTGACTACTAACTGCAGACTTCAAAGATAGAGCTATATAGGTGTTCATCAACAACTGTACAATGATCTTGAAAGTATTTATTCAACCAAATAGAAGGCAACAAAGTTGAGAGAATCGGTAGTGAATTTTAGCAGAAAGACCTGAGTTGGACTTCAACTCTATTGCTCATTTAAATTTTTAGAATAAATTTGCTTATCTGTAAAATAAGACCAGCTCTATGTATCTTGCATAATTGCAAATGAGCCTAGCACAAAATCCTGTGCTTACTCTACACTCAACA